TGCCAGGTCCAAAACTGGACCAGAGACCACGATTTATCCGTATTAGGCTCCTATTTGAGTAAGTGAACCGCAGGCCACAGGCCACAGGGCATATTCCATAATTCCAGAGTGGCCATATCAACCACACACAGAGTCGGTTCTGCTCACATTTCAAATGCTTTCCTTGAATGTGTCACATAATTTATAATACCGGGTTTTTACTGCACTTCATGTGGGTATGTACTGTATATGTAAGATATATACTGTAGTTTTATATATACATAGATGAGCAACACATCAAGTTACATGTTTTCTGAATCTATCTGAATGAAAAAAATTAATGAGATAGGAAAAAAGGGCCACCAGTATTCAAAGATTCTTTCTATCTTTCTTTCTTTCTCTTTCTTTTTGTAGTAGGAATCGAACTCAAGACCTCATACTAGCCAGGCAGGTGCCGCACTGCTGAGCTACATCCCCAGCTCTATTCAAAGTATTTTCTATGTAGCTGACAGTGTGTATTTTGGCATTGTAAAATTGAGCAAAAATAAAATGCAGTAGGCCTTCTTATATTTGAATTCCAAATAACAAATTTCTAGTACATCTCCTATAATAATTAGTAAGTGACTACTTTCTATTAAGTGACTATTTTCTACTAAAGACAAGGTGATGGCCATTGTTGTTCCTCCTGTCCTCTCACGACTTGCAAAAGTGTAAGATTTTTCACTTGCTGTTTAAGAAGGGGAGGTCAGGCAGCCTCTGATACCCAGAAGCTGGTACAGCATTCACAAGTAGGTATGTTCTTCTCTTGCTGGATACAAACTCACCGAATACCAACCAAGGTCATGGGAAACTGACCACGTGAGACAAAACAAAACACTTAAAGCAAAGACCGAAAATACCAGATGTCCCCTCTCTTGCTCAGGATAGGTGAATCCTATTGTGATCCCTATAGATAAGATTTACTGAGATGTACAATCAAATACCCCTGGTTTCAAAGGACATCTGAGTTAGAGGGAATTCCTGCTTTCTGAGGCCCTCAGCAAGTTGCCCAGATCTTCTAATAGGCTGCAACACCCTCTTACTGAGGTACATCACAGTTTCCTATGGATGCTATTGTTTTGTCTTAGTCTTACATTTAAATAGATAGATTCACTGGAAAATCTCCATCCTTTTTCTTACTCATTTCTTATTTGGCTTGACTGCATATTGCCAAGAAATTTTTCACAAACAACTCCTTCATAATATATTCCCTCTTTTTTTCATGTTTGGAGTAAGCTGCCTGTTTCATTTTTGGTAGATTATATCATTGTTAGCAATTATGCAATCCCCTTTTCCTAATAAGGAGGGTTATATATCCCTGTACAGTTGACTTTGCAAGGTTCTAAGAAGAAAAGAGCAATTAGCAGCATTTAACAGGTCATTTAGGGAGACATTTGTTAGGATTAGGCAGAAAAGGGGATAGTGATGAGAAAGCAAACATACACTTAGCACTTACTGGGGTCCAGGTTTTTATTCACTTAGCATTAAGTAATCTTATCTATCTATCATTTACTGGACTAAGCCAAGCTTTGCAAATAAATTAGTGCTTGAGCTGGCTCTTTATAGAAGACCAGGAAGTGACCAACCAACCAGAAAATAAAGGTACAGATACAAGGGGAATGATTATTCCAGATACAGAGTTCTAGGAACAGATTTGGAAGCAACAGACAGAGTGGCATATTCTGTAACCTCTAAGCAGTTTGATACTGTACATAATTTCTTTTAATCTTCAAAACAATTCTGTGGTAAGGTATTAATGTCCCTATTTTATAGATGAAGAATCAGGTTCAAGATTACACAGCTGGTTGGCCAGAGTATTAACATTGCAACCCACTTAACAACTGCTCGAGTCATTGTTTTTTTCTACTTTACTGGAGTTTGCTCTTCCCTGGTTTGGTGACTTTACCAAATCTGTGACTCTAAGTGTAAATCAGAGGAAGAGATCTGGGATTGAATAAATGTCACTCTCTTATCTTTTATCACAAAAAATGAATATATATTTAGCATATACAAGATTATTGAAAATTTTCGTTTATTTTTTGAGACAGGGTCTTACAGTATAGTTCAGGCTTAACTTGAACTCACAACAATTCTCCTGCCTCAGCCACCTGAGTGGTGGGATTACAGGCATGCACCACTAGGTCTGGCTATATTCTTGGAATTTTAACACAGGAGAAGACAGTCACTGCCCTCACGGAATCCATAATGCTCAAATGTGGGAAGCAAACATGGACAAATTATCCACAACAGTCAACCAAAACCTTTATAGAAAATGAAACAATTGACATGGCCAAATCCTTTTGACACAGGTTCTTCTCTTTATAATCTACTGGGTTGTTTGAAGATAGGCTAAGCTCTCAGATAAAAAAAGAAAGTAAAAAGTGAAATGGCATTTTGAAAAACAGAAAACTAATGAAACTGTCGATGATGCTATAGTAAAGATACTTATTAAAGCCAGTTGAGATTTTTGGTATGCTCTGCTTTCCTGCAAATAAAATTCATTTCCTAGTCTTCTTTCATTATAGGAAGCTTTTAAACTTTAGTTTTTCCTGGTTTGGAGGTGTGAGGAGTACAGGCAGAAGTGAAGAGCAAGTTGCCTATCCTTTGAAAGAGTGAGTTTCCACCTCAGTTGGGTCTTCACTTTTAAAATCCCTTGGCAAAGGGACAAGGGCAAGGCAATTCTATTGGTGGCCTCACTGGTGTTAACGTAGGTGAAAAGGAAAGTGTATTGTCTCTTCCAATGTATGAAAAGTAATAAATCCCACATCGAGAATGGCTTCTACTATCACGATGATCTATATTTTAAAGACATTTTAGATTCAATTGCATTACTGAAATAAAAATAGAGTCTACACTTTTGACATACACTTTGTTCACTTGGGAGGCTGAGGCAGGAGGATCACTGTGAGTTCGAGACCAGCCTGGGCTACACAGTGAGCTCAAAGCCAGCCTGAACTGCACAACAAGACCCCGTCTCAAAAAGAAAAAAATACACTTTATTTCCTAACTTTTTAATCACTAATTTTTTCAGAAGGATAACTCAGACAAAATGATAATTAATCTGCTGGCTAATACTTCTCTTTCCTGTGAAATGTGTATTAAACAATGGAACATTTGTAATTTTACATGCTAACAAAAAAAAAACACCGATAGTTCAATAATTGCCTCATAGTTTGCTTTCTCATAAAACAAAATCTTGGAGACTAATTTAAGGAATCTCATTTGAATTTATTATTTCCAAGTGAAAATAGAGCTGTATAATATGACTTTGGTATTTGAGGTACTTTATTGAGGATAAGTAGAATAGATTAGGGATAGATGATAATATCCTTTTTGATTTCATAGTGAAGAAAATCAGATATAGTTAGGTATGTTTTTATGCAGAATATTCTGATGTCCATTTTCAGCAAGATTTTTGTAGAAAAAAGCACAGGAATTTTGACTGAAAGGTAAGTAGGTAAAAATTCAAATTTTTGAATATTAATCATATATATATATATATATATATATATATAATGAAAGTAGTGAATGACCTTAATTGTTGTAGAAAAACTGTTATTATTTAGTTACCTAGTTGAATATGGTCAATAATCATCTTGAAGGGAAATATTTTGCTCTCCACGCATCCATTTGCTTCATTCTTCATGCTAGTCAGAAGCAAATTACCATAAAATAAAAAAATTTAAAAAGAAGCAAATGACCAGAGGGTTTTTTTAAAAGTATGTAATTCATAATTTATTATTCATTAAACAGTTTCTGAACACCTACTATCAGTCAGATCCTAAAGTCTTCTGAGGATGAAATGCTATGAAAATAATCAATTAACAATGCAAATGTTAACTGAGTGTGATGGCTCATGCCTCTAATCCCAGCATTCATGAGGCTGAGGCAGGAGGATACATACCCACGTGTTTTGAGGCCACCTGGGTTGCATAGTGAGTTTAAGGATAGCCTGAACTACACAGCAAGACTTTGTCTCAAAAAATTGCAAACGTTAATATTTACTCACCTTATGTTAATATAATGTTAATATTACTCACTCAAATGGCAATGTTCAGTTTGTCATTCTTTTTTCTGTGCTTCTGTACCGTATGCAAATAGTTTTGACTGTGTCCGTGGCCCTATCTACTGAGCCCTCTGGAAAGCAGAAAACCTTTGCTTATTCCATGTTACATCCCACAGAATCTAATATATGGTTTGCTGCAGATTAAATGGTTGGTTAGTAAACTTTGGTCGAAATGAAGGAAATAACATAAATAGGATTGAACCATTTTGTATTCAATTAAGAAGTCAGCAGTTGTCCAAACACCAGATTTCATTCTTAAAAAGTAGTTACTGAACAGATGAGGTGGACACACTTATAATGCTTGCTCCTGCAGAGAGGCAGAGGCAGGTGGATCACAGGTTTAAGGCCAGTCCAGTCGATTCAGCGAGACAGTGCCTCAAAATACAAAAAAAAGGGGGGGCAGGGATGTAGAGTCCCCCTGGTTTCCATCCATAGTACCGGGAAAAGGGGCCAGGGGTTACCGTAATTTACCATTGCCTTGCCATGCTAGAACTCGAATTATCAAGTTAATAAATTGTATTTCTTCAGATTGTATTTCAAGGTGATTTATCACCTACCAGGCTAACAGAGCAGAATTCACACGTGTGAACGAAATGAAATCCATATAGTCTCTAATAAAAGTTTGCATGCACTTAGATGAACGCGGCCAGCTTCCCCTCCACCGCAACTGGTTAGGTAACTGCGTTACCGGACCTTTCCCTTTCCAGTTTTCTCACCCTTTCGCCCTTAGGAGAGCACTAAACGCAGACAGGCAGAGCTTCCCAGTCTTCCTCCGCCCCCTTGCGGAAAGAGCCGAATGCAGAGCGGAGCGCCGAAGCGAAGCCGCCTAGGGCTCGGGCCCTTCCGGACAGATCCGGGCCGCTGTCGGAAGAGGAGGGCGCCTCTGCGCTTCGCCCCCGCGCGGTGCCCTCTGTCGGCAGCGTGGGGCAGCGGTAGCAGTTGGTGGCGGCCAGAGGCGGCAGCCGCGTCGACGTCGACCAAGACTGTAGCACTCTTGAAAGCAGCAGCAGAAGCGCCGGCGAATCCGGCTTCTTTCGGTGAAGGACTCCCACCCTTCCGCGCCCCGACGAGGAGCGACGGCGGTGCCCGGAGCAGGTGAGGCCGCTAGCCGCGGCGGGAGGGGGCGAGGGAGCGCGCCTCCCTCCCGGCCCTGGGCCGCGCCTGCGTTTGCCTCACTTGAACCAGGAAGCGGCGGAGCCCGAGGCTCGGCTCCCTGGGCTCTTTCTTTGTGTGGGTCGGGGAGGGAAGCAAGGGAATAACCCACAGGGCCGCAGCGCGGTCCCTTCTCCCTCTGGGGCTGGAAGGGCTGCCAGTGCCCGGGGATAGGCCCTGGGGCGTGGGGACCCCACCGCAGGGACTCACTTGGCGTTGCCCTCGACCCCCTGCTTTCTGTTTTGTGGCTTTTTTTTTTTTTTTTTTTTTTTTTTTTTTGCCACCTAGTCCTTACTTTGATTTGGAGCTTTTTCTGCCTGGCCCATCCTCCCCCTCCGTCCCCTTCCTGGGGCATAACAATGCCGCCGCCTCGCCCCTCCCAAGCACCGCACCCTACTGCTCACCACTTTATACTTTCCCCCGCACCCCTTATTCACTCTGCTGTTTGTGCTTCCATCTGTATTTGCCAGAAGCCAGCTTTTCTCGTGAATGGGAATCAAAAGCCTGCGTTGTCGCTGGCGGGGTGCAAATGGAGAACAGGGAGGTGGAGGGAAGCAGACAGGGTTCAGCTGCCGCAGGGCGCCGCGTGTTGGTTTGTTTCACTCCCTAGCCTATGGCTTTTATCTCTTTTCTGTCTAGCAGCCCCTCTGGTCTTGTACTCGGTCAAGGATTTGTCCTACAAAGGTGTACAATGGACTTTCACTGTCAGGTCGCTAATCTTGGGTGAGGAAGGGCTCAGACAGACCTATATTGACCCAGGGCCCAGGGTCCCTAACCTGCTGGAGGGGAACACCTAAACAAGAAACAAAGTCCTGGCATCTCCTGGACACGTATGTTTACGCCTACCCACATTGAGAAAATCTATTTGCAATGACAGATATCGTGGGACTGTATTTAGAAAACCTGCCATTCCACTTAAAAGTGACTTCTGTTAAAATACCCGTATTTCTGAATCCCTTGTTGCTGTCACATTGTCCAAAGGTCACCCATTCTGATTGAGTACCTTTATGGTGGCCTGCTATTCTTGTGTACTATTAATATATTAACACCTGACTAATAATGTTTGAAAACCTTCATTTTACACTTTTTGTCTATTTTTGTTTTATGTATAATTTTTAAAAATGTAAAAGATATGTGAGATCTGCCTTTCGTGTGTATAACTTTAGGCACTGTGATACTCTACATAACTTTAAAGGGAAATAATATTAATGATTTTTTTTCTACTAAAGGTACAACTCTGGCATCACCATGTATGGGATCTCTTCTGTGAAGTGCACAAAAGTGTTTTAAGCAAGATGTAGCGATGCATGCCTGTAGGCTGAGGCAGAAGGATTGCAAATTGAAGCCCATCCTAGCTAACTTACTAAGACTCTGTCTCAAAGTTAAAAAAAAATTAAAAAGGGCAGAGGATACACCTCAGACGAGTGCCCTAGGTTCAGTTCCTAATAATGAAAAAACAGTGCTTTAGGGGTGATACACAGCAATGCCCTGTAATGGCAACCCCTGCACCAGTATGTCTCTGTTCCAATAAGCTAATGTTTTCATTTTCACAAACCTTAGGTGAAAAAAAAGTTCTCATAGCAATGTACATAATTCTTTTTTCTTTTTTTTTTTTCTTTTTTTTTTTTTTTAGACAGGGCCTCACTATTGTAGTTCAGACTGGCTTTGAACTACATAGCCCAGGCTGGCCTTCAGTGAGCAGTGATCCTACTGCCTCCGCCTCCTGAGTGCTAGGATTACAGGTATGCACCACCCTATTTCATGTTTGGTTTTTTGGGGAGGAGGGAATTAATGGTGACTGAACCCAAGGCTTTTTTACTAAGCCATAACTCCCCATTTCTTAAATTTTGAGACAGTCTCAATAAGTTACTAAGTTGTTTAGGCTGGGCAGGAACTTGGGATCCTCTGCCTCAGCCTTACTAAAGTGCTAGGATTACAAGCATGTACCATTGTGCCCAGCTCCAGGGCACATAATTCTTTACCGACAAAATGAAATGTTTGAGGTTTTCATGCAAATAATGCATTAAAAAGTGGTATGCTTTCCTTTTGTACTGTCATATTTTTTCATGAAAGCCTCTGTTGAATTTGTGGTGAGAGAGCTGGACAAAGAGATGAAATATAGGAAGGTGTAAGAATCATGTTTGGGGACTGGGAATTTAGCTCAGCCGCATAAGCGCCTGCCTTGCAAGCGCACAGTTGTGAGTTTGATCCCTGGTACCAAAAAACAGAAAAAAAGAATCATGTTTAGTAGTAGTTTGTCAAGATGAGACAGACACCCCAATGTAATGCAAAGTTGTGAAATAGCTGTGTCAGTAAATGTCCTGGACTGCAGAAAGTAGCTTTTAAATATAATCTTAATGATAAGATTAGTTACAATTGAGGAAGAATGTGTGTTTCAGACTAAGTATTGAACATGCCCAGCTGTTCTGATAGTCACATCATTCATTTACTGATGAAATAACTTCTGTGCATTCATGATGAACATGCTCCTTAAAACAATTTTAAGACATTTAAAAATTAAGTCTTACCTCTCCTTAAGGAGGAAACCCAAAATTGGTACTAAGAAAATGAATTCTAATCTTTAAAAGTTTCTTCATGGAGATAACATGTATCTGAGATTAAAGGAAGGCAACTGTGGAAATTGCCGTTCAAATTTGTATAGCAGCTTAGCATTTACTTAACTCTTCTCAGGAGGAAGTCACGAGGTCTGACACATGGTCCAAAGGCCAGCCCGTATGAACAATTTATACAAAAGCCAAAATGTTATGACAAACTGCAGTTAAAACTTGAACTGTTTAATGATTCTGTGGCTTAAATTCTGAATGAAAAGGATCTGTGTGTTTTTGTAATCCTCCCTCATCCCCTCCTCCTCTTCTCTTGTAGGCATGGAGAGTAGAAAACTGATTTCTGCAACTGACATTCAGTACTCTGGCAGTCTGCTGAACTCCTTGAATGAGCAACGTGGCCATGGACTCTTTTGTGATGTTACTGTCATTGTGGAAGACCGAAAATTCCGGGCCCATAGGAATATTCTTTCAGCTTCAAGTACATACTTCCATCAGCTCTTCTCAGTTGCCGGGCAAGTTGTTGAACTGAGCTTCATAAGAGCAGAGATCTTTGCAGAAATTCTCAATTATATTTATAGCTCAAAAATTGTCCGTGTTAGGGCAGATTTACTTGATGAGTTAATTAAATCAGGGCAGTTACTAGGAGTGAAATTTATAGCAGAGCTTGGTGTCCCACTGTCACAGGTTAAAGGCATCTCAGCTACCTCTCAGGATGGTAATGCTGACACCTTACCGCCTGGTTCTAGTGACAAAAACCTTGAAATACAAAAATCAAAAGATGAAGCCCAGGATAATGGGGCTACTATAATGCCTATTATAACAGAGTCTTTTTCATTATCTGCTGAAGATTATGAAATGAAAAAGATCATTGTTACTGATTCAGATGATGATGATGATGATGATGTCATTTTCTGCTCTGAGATTTTGCCTGCAAAGGAGGCTTTGCCGAGTAACAATGCAGTGACACAGGGCCAGCCTAACCAGGGTCCTGTTGCTATTTCAGATGTTGCACCTTGTGCTAGCAGTAACTCTCCCCCTTTAACAAGTGTCACACCCACTCAGAAACTTCCCACTCCTGTGAATCAGGCAACTCTGAGCCAGACACAGGAAAGTGAAACATTGCTGGTATCTTCAGCTCCAACACATCTCACTCCCAACATTATTTTGTTAAATCAGACACCACTTACTACACCACCAAATGTCAGTCCTTCAGTTCCAAATCATATGTCCTCTTCAATCAATCTACTTGTACAGAATCAGCAAACACCAAATAGTGCTGTTTTAACAGGAAAGAAAGCCAATGAAGAGGAAGAAGAGGAAATTATAGATGATGATGATGATGACACTATTAGCTCCAGTCCAGACTCAGCAGTCAGTAATACGTCTTTGGTCCCACAGGCTGATACCTCCCAAAATCCCACTTTTGATGGATCGTTGATACAAAAGATGCAGATCCCTACATTTCTGCAAGAACCACTTTCCAGTTCTTTAAAAATTTCAGATATAATTACTAGAAACACTAATGATACAGGCTTAGGATCAAAACATCTAATGGAGGGCCAGAAGATCATTACTTTAGATACAGCTACTGAAATTGAAGGCTTGTCTACTGGTTGCAAGGTTTATGCAAATATTGGTGAAGATACTTATGACATAGTGATCCCTGTCAAAGATGACCCTGATGAAGGGGAGGCAAAACTTGAGAACGAGATACCAAAAACTTCTGGCGGTGAGTCAACAGGCAAACGTATGAAAGTAAAACATGATGATCATTATGAGTTAATAGTTGATGGAAGGGTGTATTATATCTGCATTGTGTGCAAAAGGTCATATGTCTGTCTGACAAGCTTACGAAGACATTTTAACATTCATTCTTGGGAGAAGAAATATCCGTGTCGCTACTGTGAGAAGGTATTTCCTCTTGCTGAATATCGTACAAAGCATGAAATTCATCACACGGGGGAGCGAAGGTACCAGTGTTTGGCATGTGGCAAGTCTTTCATCAACTATCAGTTTATGTCTTCACACATAAAGTCAGTTCATAGTCAAGATCCTTCCGGTGACTCAAAGCTTTATCGTTTACATCCTTGTAAGTCTTTGCAGATCAGACAATATGCCTACCTTTCTGATAGATCAAGCACTATGCCTGGAATGAAAGATGGCAATATTGCTTATAAGGTTGATGCCAGAAAAGAACCTCCGGTAGGGACTGCATCTACTCAGAACAAGCCAGTAACCTGGGAAGACATTTTTATTCAGCAGGAAAATGATTCAATTTTCAAACAGAATGTAACAGATGGCAGTACTGAGTTTGAATTTATAATACCAGAATCTTACTGAACTCCTTTGAAATATCATAAAGTTTTGGTTTGGATTAATGGGCAGGGATTTCAGAAGACCTGTAAAACCAGTTAAAGTGAAACAAGTCCATTTGATCTGCCACATCTGAAGGTAGCCTAGTTGGGTTATTGTTAATATTTAGGAACAAATTTTTCTGAAAGTTTGAGTAGAGGTTGAGAATCCCCCCTCCAAGTATATGTTTATATAGTTAGCTTTCAGCTCATTTAAGAGGCAAAAGTGAGCAGCTCAGAGAGATAGTTTTCTGAATAGAATGTAAAGCAGTCTGAATGTTTTTTGAAAATAACTGGAGTTACTAGCATACCCTAGCACATGTTAAAACTTTCCCCTTCCATGTTAGCACTTTACTGCTGATTTCTCAGTTTTCTTAACATTGAGACTAAATACGTGTTGTGTCTTGTATATGGCATAAAAAGTAAAGAAGAATGTCTAAAATTGTTCTAGAAAATTTGAGAATAAATCTCCACTTGGTTATGTAATGAGTAGTAATCTGCCTCCCTGCCCTAATGAAAACAGCCATGCAGACAAGTCTTTCATATGAAGAATTAGTTTTAGCTAGTTGGAATTAATCCTCACTCCTATTGTCATTGTCTGTAATAGACTTTGATCACTTTGCCACTATATATGCCTTCACGGTGTGGTCTCTATGGGCAAAAAACTAATGGAAAAATAAATCTGTAGTGCAGGTAGGAGGAGAAGAAAAGTTCTGTCCCACATATTTTTCTCTGTCCTTTCATAATGGAGACAATGGAATCAAAGTTATATTTAAAAATATTGCCACAGAATGTTGCAAAATTTTCAATCCAAAATCCACCAAATGAATCTTTATGCATCATCTAACTGTAAACCTTCATAAATGGTAGTCTGTAGATGAGACTCCTGTGTATTTTGGGCTGGAGGCTATAGGTGTATTTTTAAATGTTCATGTTACTTGGAATATCTAATAGGTTTTTACTTGAAATAATTGAAATGATCTTGTGTTCTCTTTTCAGCAAAATATTTTGGATTTTTATCCCTTCTAAATTACATTCCATCTCTAAATCATTACAGTATTTTAGCAGTTGCAAACTACATATGGAGCACTATATAGACTTGTCAATTCCCATTTATTGTTACAACAATAAATGCCACCTTTCTTCTAGATTGACACATTTAAACACTTAGAAAATAAAGTTGTAACTTACTCAAATGCTAGTACTAAAAGAAAACAGACTGGAACAAATATATAGCCTAGCATTTATAACAGAACTAACTTGGTGAGCTTTTGTAAATGGCTTTTTGCAAAGGAAAAAAAAATTATTAGATACTGAATGATTGTTGTGCATAGTTATTAGTCATTCATAACCTTGCTTAAGTATTTCTTAGTTCAGCATAGATATTTTCTTCCTCCTTACCCGTATTTTTAAAAAGTTATTTCTTGATGTTGACTTAAAGCTTTAATCTTAATTTCTCATATCTATGTCATTCTTCAGATGATAAGCAAGATTTTAAGATAATGATGTCAGTGTTTAAATTGGGAGCAGAGAGGATCAGATGTCAATATATGCAATAATACAAGGAAAAAAGTAATATCCTTTGCTTACAAAGGTCAAGTTTATGTGCTTTTATTGGTTTCTGTTTTGGGAGTCTAAACTGACCATTAGAAAATTTGAAATTACCTTGTAACTTAAGGATCAGATCTTTGGAATCACAATATCTTTTTCCTTTCTGTGTAGATATTGATAACATTATTCTTTGACAATAGGGTGCACTCTGAAATATTCGCAGTGGAAATTGAAGTTTCATTAATGTTATTTCACCATTTAGACATAATTATTTCTACCAGTATGAATGATACCTGATGCCAGCAGAGCTTTTGAACCTTTCAGACTCAACTGCTAGATAAATGACTTTGTCATAATAAAACTTGGTAGTTTCTACAAGTCTGTTATGACAAACCAAGAATTAATTCTGTAATAGAAAACTATCCATTCTGAGTAATATTGATATAGTTATTTGCTGCTGCTGTGCTGTGTAAATTTTGAATATGAAATGTTAAACTGTGCCTACTAAAAGTATCTTCTGGAGTTTCTGAAGAGAGAAAACCTGGAAAGTTAAATTGCAATTTTGCCAGAAGACTCTTACTTGCATACGTCTCAAGGTCTTCAGATTTCTTTTTTTTTTAATCTTTACTGTTGAGGATCCAACCTAGGGGTGCTGTACCACTGAGCTGCACCCCCAGAGCTCTTTAATATGAGAATGTCTTGCTCAGGTAGAAGTTGAACTGGTGTCCTCTTGTCTCAGCCTCCCTCAGTATTGATATTATGGGCGTGGCTAGGTCCTTCGTTTTTCTAGAAGTTTGCCTACCCCAAGTTGGATTTTGCGTGGAATATGCTTTTGAGTTAAAACTCTTCACTCCTAATTTCTACTGGATTGAAAATTTTTACAAGATGCAGTTTAAACTTACCATGAGACTTTCCTATTTTATACTTAGCTTTCCAGCTATTGAATTTTCTTTTTTCTCTCAGGTTGGCTTCAGATTTTCTCTAATGATAAATTACCCTAGATATGCTAGAAAGAAATTACTTGAAATAGTAAATTAATTCAAAAATATTCAAACCAGGAAAAGATTTTTAAATGTTATAGCAATCTTACAAGATCTGTATTTTCAATGATAATCATTTTGGTTGTAATAATCCCCCATATACATCCACTATGAGGAAATGATGTCACATTTTCCCATTGTATCAAAAAGATAAAACAGTAAACATTGCTGAAGCTATTTTGTATTGTCAGGGCATGCATATTCTAGAGCTAAATACTAACTGTACTGGCTTCATCACCTCTTATCATTCATATTGAAACCTTGTTCATTTCCCCCAATACTATATTGTTCATACTTATACAATTTTATGTCATGACTTTAAGTTCTACTTTTCATTAATTGTTACCTGATACTCATAGAGCTTCTTATGGCAAAAATAAAATGATTTAATTCTAATCATTGAGTGCATGTTTTACAAGATCGTCTTTCAGAAATTACGAAAGCTTTTGCATTCTATTGTTTTCAGTTTTGTAAAGAGAGACTAGAACTTATTTCTGATGAAGCCTGGCAGAATTTTCCTTAAGGTGTTATATACTGGTGAGTCATGTCCCATTGTTTCTTCAATCATAATGGTCAAATTGAGGTAAGTGCTATCAGTTGTTTTAGTACGCTTTGTATACTTTTATAAATACCATGAGGAGTCCTGTGAGTGGATAATGAGGGTAGTTTTATTAACTTGAAACATCACAAGAGCAGTCTGGGTTCCCAACATGGCAGTGATACAGATTTTAAGCAACATCCAGTTTACATAGGTTCTGGATTAATATTTTAATGTTTCATGCCCAGTTCAATACTGTAAAGCAGAATTAGGATTAAAGCCATAAATTACAAAATGCAGTTGAGATACATATTGGAAATAGAAATTCCTTCATTACAGCAACTGTTTTTGCAAAAGAGTAAAGCAGCAAATACTAATTTTTTAAGGTAACATGGACTTTATATACTTCAATGTAATTAAAAAAGCTGCTTAAATTAAGTGTTACAAAATCTATACTGTTTCAAGTTATTTTGTAAATAAAAATACATAGAAATGAGTCATAGAATCTTCACACTTTAAGAAATGTAAATGTACGCTATACTGTATAATGGTATCTTTAAAAATACAGATTTATTAAAGGAAAAGGTAAAGTGTAAATGGCAAAAAATATTCATTGAGTATTACAAGGTGATATTTGTATAGTAAGTCAATTGGTTATTAGTCCCTTTTTGATATCCAGTAGAATTTTAATATTCTCAGAACTGTAAAAATAATAGTAACTTTGTATAACACAAAAGGACTATAGTATTTCAGATTTGGAATCTATAAGACAACTTTCATGATGCTGAAAGTTAAACAATATTTTGCAAACATTTACTGCAAACAATGAGTGTGCTTGTTGTGCCTGGATGATTCTTGATGACCAAGTGTGTAAGGTAGATGAGAGCACCAGCATTTGTCTGCTACCTCTAATCCATCAAGTTCAGGAGGTAGCAAAATAGGCTGGAAAATTTTCCAGTATGTGTTCTGGGTTTTCAGAACTATCTAGTTAGGTACCCTTCTGTAGCCTGTGCATTTTTACATTATACAAGTGTAGGATGATCGATCAGTCTTCCTTTTAAACCATTTCTCAGGTTAGCGCAAGATTCCAGTGAAAGTAGTGATTCTAAATTGAAAGCATGATTCCAAAGTGTTCTAAACTCATTAGGTTGATGACTTAAAGCTATGTATAATTAAAAGAACTGTATGGATACCACAATGTGATGGATTTTAAATGTACCATAACACTTAGAAATTTGTCAAGTTAGCTACATTTGGAGGTTTTACAGACTTGAGGCATTGTAACACTTTCATAATCTTGAGTTAACGCTATCATGATTGGTCTCAACAGAAAAAGGACCAATAAGAGCAGTGGCATTAAAATACAGATGATTCTTTTGGGGTGAGGTGCAGGATTCGTGCGGTTTGCTGGGGTTGAAGCACAACATTTGAAGATTAAATAGTCACAAAGATTAGTAACAATTCATACCACAACCCAACCTAATCTAGCATCTTTAAACTGATTTTCAACTGTAAGATATCTCCTGCAGCAAATATATTTTGTAATAACACAACATGTAGTAGAACCTCAGTCTCAAATTACCACATGTATTATTGAAATTACTTAAAACTGCTCACAGGTTGCTCTGTATTTCAGTGCTTCTGGAACAATCCTGTTTCCCTCTAAAGGTGAGAGAATATTGCACTTTTCCCTTTAGGAGATACCAGTAACAAAAGCTGAGCTGAATGAGCACAACAGCCATTTTTACAATACTCACAGAAAGAAAGAGTAAGATATAGGCAGCTTTTTCTATATCCAGACAAAAAGCAAACAAAATATTAGCCAGAACTCTCTGTACTGGAACCATCATCTGGGAAATTTTCCTTAAAGACTAACATTAGTAGGGAAAGATAGAGCCTTGCAAGCCAAGTTCTTAACCAAGGTGCTAGAGTAGCAATCTGCCAAGGGTCAGAGGACAAACACTCCTTTACATAAAGTGAGACAGATGTCAGTGGCACTTTTGCTCGATACCGAAGTGGAGCACAGGATAATGCAAGTCCAAACTTGACAGTCTTCTTGCTGGGCTGGCTCCCCAACCTTGTTTAGAGAGTGAGCTGTTCTGGAAGTGCTGGTTCTGCCTAGTCATCCTCCCCTCGCAGTGCCAACAACCTTCATCCCTGTCTTTCCCTAGCCTGGCAGGCTGTTGTAAAACTTTATGCATTAAGAATCACACTTTAAATTTTATACCCTACATACTTCCACTAAAGCAGAAATACAAAAGCCACAATAATCTCAATAGCCAGTGGATATTCATTCCTCCTTAGGGACTGTAAGGTGGTGGCTTTTCAAAAGGTGGGTAGTAGGGTGGAGAATAACGGGGTGGCGCGCTCGAGGACCACATGTAGCTGGGCGAGGGAGAGCCAGACTGAGGCTCATCAGAAAGTCCAGAGGGAGGGGAGGATGGAAAGACACTGGAATGCTGTGTAATAAAAAGAAAACATCAGCTTAGGCAGTGCATTTGTGATTTCCTGAGTGGTCATGACTATCTAAGCGGGAATATGGACTAGGTTTGCTTCCATTTGGAAGAACAGAGCTCCTAACCCTTACAATGTTAATGAGGGACATGGAACAGGTGGTCCCACCTTCCTCTCAGTCACTCAGGTTGCAAGCCTCAATCAGCTATCTGGGAATCCTCCCCTTACCCTTGAATGCTGCATCTAGGCAGTTACTGAATCCTGTTGCTTCTAAAGTATTGCCTCTAATATAATGCTCACTTTCTGAGTTTATAACCCAAGCCTTCAGTACTTCTACCATGAGCTATGGCAGCAACATCCCAAGTAGTCTTCCTAAAGGTAGATGTGGTCTTAAGAAACTTTAATGCAATTAAGCTTTTGATTCCTGGGAAGTTCTTTCCTCCAAGAATGTATCATAGGGAAGTAGTGCAGTGGTCAGGAGCCCATCTCATAAACAACCAAAATCAGAGGAGTTAAGTGGCTTGGTTGGATTTGAAGTCTTCAGACTAAACCTGTCACTTCTGTTCCATTTGAACTAACCACCCCCACTAAATACTCCCATTTATAGGGTAGGTTGGAAAGCACAGTGTAACAGATGTAGAGCTAAGAATACCAATGGTAAGGACAAGAGCAATGCGGCAGGTCAGACAGGGATTTTTTTAAAAAACGGATGAATTGGCATGTTAGGAGTCGTTTCCCCCTCTCTCAGTGATCTTTCTGCTCAAGATTTGGTCTGTTTTGTTCATTTCTGTATCTCCCAGAGTTCAGAACAGTGTATGACAAATAGTAACTACTCAATAAATCTTGAATGCATGAAGATAACTTCAGTAGTATGTAACATAAACTTGGCAGGCTTTTTAAAAAATCTCTTCTCAAAGATACAGAACCACCCTGTGAGCACTGTTGCCTTGCTCCAGTAGTGGAATAAGGCTGGAGGGAACTGCGGGAATAGCTAGACTCAAGAAACCAGCTTTAAGCTCTCAGAACAAAGATATGCCAACAGGTTGGAAGAATTGCAAATACTCTGTAATATCTTAGCTCTAGAGGAGCTGGTATTTTTGTTTCTAGGTCTTGCTTAAGACATTAAAATGTGTCCCTTGCTGCACAATGTGACTTGGCTGCAATTCTTCACCCTATGCATTCTTTCATTCTGAGTGAAGGATTGACAGGATCATAGAACCTAAGCGAGCCTTTAAAGGCTAAAGAATTTGGGGCAGTGGGCTTGAGACAAGCAAGATGTCTCTCTAAAAACTCGGTTTTTCTCCTCTTTTCAACAATACAGTGATGTGTTCAGAGAAATATATAAGATAATTGTGCAAACATCACAGAGTATACTCACACAAACTAGACAGCTACAACGTCACTAGGTGATATAATCATACAGGACAACTGTTGTATGTGGTCTGTCGTTGAGTGAAACATCATTAAGTAGCACATGACCGTATAGTGATTTCCTGTTTCTGCCCAGCACCCCCCAAACTCCCTTTCTCCTCCTTTTCCTCTGACTTTTGTTTCCTTTCCTCAATTAATAGCTGCCTCCTCTTAACGACAGAGGAAAGCAAGACTTCTCAAGGCCAAGGATTTCTGTGCCCAGGCATGTGGCAGGGATAGTGAGAGGCACCAGGCCACTTTTAGGTGTTCCCAACCGCAGAAGGGAGGGACAGGTTTTCTGCAGTAGAACTAAAGGCATTTCTGTGCTGAGAGGCATTAAAAGACTTCTGTGAGCAGCAGCTGCTGTGGGTGGCAGTTGTACGCTTTGATAATAAAAGGGGATACAGCGGCCCTTAGATTTTCACTTCTCAGTTTCATGTTTGGGAAGTATTCAAGGGGAAAGGAGAGGAGGTTTCTCCCCTTCTTTTGGCCATAAAACTGGGAGTCTTAAGGATAAAATTGAAGGGCTTTTGGCAGACTTAAGGAGTTGACTAGCTGTACATACACCCTTGGAGTTTGGGAGGGAAAATGCCCACAGTACCAGCGTTTAATTGCCTTTGAACAGACAAGAACCTTGGGAAATATTTGACTTTGTCATGGCTAAGGAGCTGGCCTGGTGTATTCTACTTCCTATTTGAGTGTCTGACTTTATTAATGTAATGGGTGGCTTAGGAGAACATAGCTTTGAAGCTTTGCATACCACAAAGCAAGGAGGGCATCTTAAGTAGTTCACGGCTGTACCTCGTCAACTCTAGCTTCCTGAGATGCTTCTCAGAGTCCAGGGCGACCTGCAGGTCCTTAGAGGGGCACTGCTCTTCAGGGACACAGATGGCCTCCCTCCTCTCCTCCTGACAGCTAACCTGAACTACTCAAGATCAATGTATGTTTCTCACCATTGTAGAGCAATGACTCCAAAAGGAGCCCTGGAACTGGC